AGAGAGAAGGAGAAGCAGAGACTGAGGGCAAAGAGGAACGATTCACGAAGATGGAAAACACTGAGGAGGAAGTCCGAGCGTGAGTAAAACATTAAATCTGAGCGTGAAGGAGTGAGACGAGGATAACAGGAGTGAGAGAACTGAAATAAAAGAAGGGAAAGATAAAACATTCATTCCTAAACAGTAATGGCTACAAAAACTATTGTTTCTTGCTTTTTTCCCCTCAGGTAGTTTTCACTCTAAATGACAGGAAGTAGTTTTTCTCCATTCTCACCAACCAGCCAACACTACTTCCTGGTTTGACCGGGGTTGTGGGTGTGGCCTCGACTCCCGTTGGTTTCAGATCGAAACTTTAAGTTTTAATATAAAACAAAAAGAAGTCAAAATGTTTCTTGTTCCAAACTGGACCTAAATGTTCTGTTACACCACCATCATCAGGATGTTGTACAAACTACGGCCTCCCTTTCAAAAGAGATCTGTGACCGGACTTGCCTGGTTAAATAATAAATAATATAATAATAATTATTATAAAACACAAATTAAAAGTAAAACAAACAGGACTGACTGTCTGTGCATGGAAATGTTTCCTGAAGCCTTCTAAAGGAAGATCAACCACTGACTGATGGGTAAGACATAAATATCAGCGTTGTGCTCACAACTCGTTTAACGGTACCGTCCACAGAGGACTGGACTGTCCCGCTGAGGCGTCCCTGGTAGAGCAGCTTCTTGTTGTCTTACCATGCGTGTCTTTTTGCTGGTTACCAACAGGAAACACCGTAGAGACGCTCCAGTACTCTTGAGTTTTGTTGGAGGAAACAAACTAAATTGAGCTCAGAAGGTTTTTATCGCTGTTTTCTGCCTTTGCTAGATTTTGGAACGAACGCCGGTCTTGGCTCTGGTTCCCGACTCGATGCATTCATTTTGGGAGCAGCCTCCCACTCCAGTCACAAAGCTTGTGGTGGTAATCCTCGCTGTGTTTTCTCTCGCCAGTTACTGGGATAACTTCCATTCCTGTGCCACGACGGCGCTGGCGGACTGCCACGAGGGAGCGACGGACCTCTGGGAAAAACTGAAAAAGGAGTCCCGCAACCTGAATTTCCGTGGGAGTTTGTTTGAACTCTGTGGTGGTGGCAACGGGGCCCCCAGGTCTGCTGACGCCAGGGGCCACATCTTGGTCCTAAGCGCCCTGCCGACCATACTGACTTGGCTGGCCTTTTAACAGAACGGAGGAGAAACATAGAAAGTTAAAATAAATTAAAAAGAGAGAACTTCAGCTGGAAAAAATAAAACTGACAACTTAAATACAACCTCAAGGACTGAGTTTGAATTCATCACAAGAAAATACGTCCGATTTGGATTCTTACTGCTTCGTCACAGTACGGCAGCTCGCTCTGCTCTGTGGGACGTTTGCAGACCATGATCCTGGAGTCCTCCAATCACACGCAGCCCCGCCAGAGGTCAATAACATGAAATATTCAACGTGCCGCTGCTCGAAATGAAGACAACGATGAAATTTTGATGGATACTTGCCCACTTACAATTGTGGAATTACACCGTATTAAAGTCAGCCATGCATTATTGATGTTGAGTAGGCCTAGACAGCATTATGTGACTGCTGGGTGCTGACACACCTTCAGGCTGTATATTAGGGTTGCCATACAGCCTGAAGGTGCTGTTCCATGTGCAGCGCAAGACCAAGCCCAACTCCACAAAATCAATAAGACAAGGCATGGAGCCCGTTTAAGACCGGTCGCCTCAGATTCACCACAGACAGATTTTCTTTTTTACTACGCCAAGATGACTCAGTTGTGCTGGAATGAATGCCTGATGGTAATATAGCCTAATGTTTGTGCTCGTGTTAGCAGTTATTGTGTGCAGACGACGGTCACACCAGCTCTGACGACTACAACAAATGTCAAAGAGTAGAGGACGTATAAAAACTGTTTGTCTTGGACCAGTTCAACGTTGCTCGAATGTTGAACTGCAAGAAAAACAGTTCCCCCAATTTACAGTGTATTACATGTTTAGCTGGCCAGCCTGCTAACATGCTAGCTAACGGTTCTGGTGTGACCGTGGTCTAACTCCCTCCCCTGATGGAGGGACGTAGTCCAGTATCAGGCCTGCCTGTGGTAAAAGAAGAGTTTAGATTTATGCTAGCCTGCATGATATCAGTTCTAAGTTGTTTATTCTGTTTCAGGAAATGAACACAAAGCTTTAAAAAACTAACAGTCACCTGGTTTGATCGAACCTGAAGAAACAGAAGTCGGGTCTAAGTTAGGACAAGGCCTGCTCAGCTAACCAGAGATTTAGTTCAAAACTGGTTTTTATATTCCACATCAAAGCAACCCAGAAAAACAATCATCATCAACCGACACACGTGGCAGAAACAAAAGAGAACAAAACAAAGTGTTAGTTAATCCATTGAGTTAACAGCTGAACTGTGTTCACTCAGTTTATCCACCCACTGTGATTAGCAGCTAAACCAGATTAGTTCTGGTTAATTACCGTTTGGATTAGCACCAAATTATTTAGCTAGCTAATGGTTTAGCAGCTAAATTAATGGAGATAAAGTTTTTAAGTGTAGCTAACCCCCATTAGATCAGATGGATCGACGTCTCACACAGATTACATCAAGTTAACAGAGATTTAGATTAACAGACAAACCACACTACAGATTAAACAGGTTAATTAGCAGTTTGGATTAGCTTCTAATCCAGATTAGTTAGCCAAAACGATTGGATTACCAGTTAAATTAGGCCATCTCAGATTTTTTGTGTTTTTGCTTTGGGATTAAGTTTTTAACTGTGGTTTCATTCTTGAGATGTTATTTTTACAACATTTAAATATTGTCTGTGTAGTAACTGATGTTTTCTGGTTTCTACAAAGTATTAAGTTTAAAACGTAAAGTTTTAGGCTTCGTGCTCATTTCCTGAAATCCCTGCGACCAGTCGAACTCAGAGTTTTACGATTCGGACGAAACGGTTCGAAAACGGAAGTAGCAGCCGATTTAAATGAACTTTAGCTGTTTTTGTTCTGTTGGGCCACGTCGGCCCATCGTCGTGTTCCAGGTGTTCCAGGTGTTCCAGGTGTTCCAGGTGTCTGAAGCTGATCAGCTACTGAGAGATGACAGCAATATAAAAATAAATCTTTACGGCCAGTGTAGCTAAAAACAAGACTAATAATGAAACCGTGGCTGAAGAGCGATATGACTGTTGCCATTGATCCCATCTCACGTTCATCTCCATGATCTTAGTCCAACCAGAGCGGATTATTTTAGGCCTGTGTTAGATTAAAGAGCAGCGTCCCAACAGTCCAGTAGCTTCATAAACTGCAGTAAATAAATATTAGAGGTTTGTTTCTTTGCCGAGACGATGTTTCCACTGCCTTCTGACTAAAAGATATGTACTTCTGTTTGTTTGTTTGTTTGTTTGTTTGTTGCTTGGCTGGTTAGTCTCTGTTTGTTTATTGAGATGTTGCAAAACAAAATAGATGGAATTATTTAAAACAAGCAAATCTACGAAGAGAATATGTATAAGAAGATAATTTTGAGAAAATTTAAAGAAATGCTTTATTAGAGATGATTTATCCCAAACAGTTTTAAACTCAGATTGATAATTTACAGATTATTTAGGCTGAGATGTGACAGATGAAATAAATAAGAAGAGTGATAAATAAAATTACGATCATGTTTGAACACGTGTGCTGTGGTCTTCATGAGGGGATGAGCGGGATCATGTCTGGTCCAGCTGGAGAAGATGGACTCTTCTTCTAGAGATGAGAGCGGAGCTCCTTTATTATTAACGAGGGGAGGTCCCAGAGCTGCTGCTCCTCTCAACACTCTTATAATCGACTGGGACGAAGAGGAGGACGAGGAAGATGAGTGTGTCCTGAGGAGGAGGTTTCTTCCTGGATTATCAAACCTGACCTCATCCTTGGATTTTATTAATCCAGAGGAAACCACATGTTCGTAAAGTATCGTTACATGAAAACACACCAAAATAAAACCAGCGTTCCTTTAGAAAACCACTGAATCCAGAAGGTAGACACAAGTTTTTGTGGTTTGGAACCAGTTCCTCAGTTTCTGTACAACGGTCCAGGTTCGCCTCGTGTCGAAGTGATTGTTGAATATCTACAAAACCAGTCTGAGTTTTTTAAAAGTCACCTTTTCACAAACTTTGAAGTAAGTTGGAACCTGAATGTGCATTGTTTGAGTCTGAGCCACGGTTCTCAGCGGCCTCTTCTCCAGCCGAAGCCACGCCCACAAAGAAGAGGTTAAATTGAGTTTTGGGCCCGTGTCTGATAATAATGAGGATTATTGTGTGCAATCAACAGTGAGATGGTCAGATCTCACCTGACTTAAACTCATCGCAGCTCCGACAGCCCTGTTTACACGATCCTATATCCAGATATTAATATCCAGATATTAATATCTGGATATTAATATCCAGATATTATAGTGGTAGTAAAAGTAACAGAATTTAAAAACACCAGTATTCAATGTATTTTACAGGTTTTTTATGTTTGGTGCCAAAGAACTGCAGCAGTAATGCTCAAAATAATTTGTAGTGCAAGATCAACAACAAATAACAGATAAAATAACTTAGATGCAAAAAAATTAATTAAATTGTGCAAAAACAAACAAAATAAAATAAAATATCAAGGAAATACTTAAATAATGTAAATGAAAAATTACTTGAAACCACGCAAATTGGTTTAAAAAAGAAATTTAAAGTTGAATAATTATATATAATAAATATATATAATCCCTCCAGAAAGTTCTGGATTCAATTAAATTTAATTC